ATATACCAGTAAAGCAACTGTACCAATTAAAATTTTTACATACTAAATGAAATTTTCCATAATTAGATTTACTAAACAATCGACCATGACGAGAATTAGTCTTAGGAAGCTTATGCTCAAGAGATATCGAAGATAATCTATATTTAAGTCACCTGTCAAAACTATTTTAGATGTTGTAGAAAATCTACTTAGCAAAGATTCCAAATTGTTTAAAAAAACTGAAACATTTGAATTTGGTGATCTATAGATACAAACAACATAAATATTAAATTTAAGAATAGAAATAATGGAAAACTCAAATTGTTTTTCCTCTAAAAGTTCAGGATATTCTACAATCTTAAATTCCAAAGTATGAAATATGGAATCATGTATTAAGATTGCTGTACCCCCGTGTTCATACAGTTCTCTGCAAAAAATAGTTATTAAGTTATAATTTGGAATAAATAAATGTTCATCTTTTTCAAGCCAATGTTCCGTTAATAATAAAATGTGAGGGAAACAGTAATCTTCTATTAATAAAAATAAATCATCAACTTTATTACGAACAGACCGAATATTACTATTGCTAGATTAAAAAAACTATAATGCCAGAATCCAAAATCAATTTTTAGCAGTTAATAATGAAAAATACACAGCAGAACAATTAAGAGATGAGGATAAATATGTGTATAAATAAACACCATTTGATTCCAAAGAAAAGTCACATAGTGCACCCCAAACTCCACCTCCCAATAAAGTAGAAGACGGTTACTTTGAGGACAGTTTAAGACTGTTTTCCATTAACACTCCTCAAAAATCCGAGAATTTAATATTAGAATAATACAGGAAATTAAGAATTCCTCAAATAACTTCAATACTAGAAACTGGATTCAGAGCAAATAAGAAAATAATGCAAGAAAAACGTAACAAAAAAAAAGAAAATCCATTATACAAAAAAAAATATTGAATTCAAATGGACTGACTCATACATAAGGGATGTGAATTGTGGACCATTTAACACTTTATATTTAAATTTTCAAAATTATTTAAATGAAATTAGTATAGTGAATATAAGCGGCGTTAACAAAAATCTAGACGACTTAGAAACTAAATCATAATTATGACTGCATAGTTTTGACTAAAGGTTATAATAACAGAAATAATAGTAGGTACTATACTTTATATTAAAGAAAATTGTACTTTTACAAACAAAATTATTAATTTAATACCTTGCAGAACCATTCAAATCACTGTTACATTTAATAAACATAATAAATTACTTGTAACTCTTATCCAGTTGTTTAATTCACCAGACTGTCTTTTTGTTTGGCATTTCTCTTTTTAGGGACAAGTTTCTTGGCATCAGTAATTGCCTTGTTTACAAATTCCACTGACCTTTTGAGTGTTTTGCTTGAGATATTTCTCGTGGGATTTTATATACCGTTCTCAATTCGCCCTTTTTGGGTTTCTAAACCTAATTGCTGTACAAGTTGGACATTGTATTTGGAATCGGATGTGTCGTTGATCTGAACATGACGGTTCATCAGACACCAATTCCTGAATTCTTTTCGGTTGATAGTAACAAAAGTTGGTTTGTTGTCTTTATTTTAAATTTCTAACTGTTCTTTTTTGCTTAATTCTTAACAGGTAACAAGTTTAGTTGTTTCTCTTTTATTTTTTTTGGTTTGGTCTTGTTTTGTTATTTTTCCAATATCCTCTTATATATCCTAAACCGCAGCCCTCTACATTTAGTGAGAGAGAATGTGGAAAAAATTACAAGATATAGAATGATGAGGAATGGAGTAATCAGACGATAGTCTATTAGATTTCGGACCGAAGATACTTGAAATATGCCCCAGGACGAAATAAAAAATAAATACCGTTTCGAGAAAAAGTTTAAAACCACAGAGTTGGGTGGTATACGGATGGTTTCAAAACTATAGAAGAAACTGAAATAAGAGTGTATGGGCCTAAAACCAGGCACTTTTAAAGTTTGGGTAAATACCAGGCCAAAATTCACGCTACTGAAAAGTGTATCCAGTTCAACATTGACAGAAAATATTGCAGACAATAGATTATCATCCAATCGATAGCCAAAAGGCCATCAAAGCACTGAGCTCTTACGTAATCAGCTTAAAAATGGTCTGGAGATGCCTAGAAAAACTAAATAAACAAAGCGAGTAAAATACAATTACTCTTACTTGGGTCCTGGGACATAACAGGGTAAGGGTAACGGAATTGTAGTCTTGTAAGGAAAGGGACACCATTTGTGGGACTTGAGCTGTTCTGTGGTATCAGCAGTAACAGAAGATATTAAAAAAAATTGGGCACTAGAAGAACCAATAATTAAAACAAACTTTTGGGGCTAAGGTACTTCTAGGTGAATATGTCCCAAAAAGATTGAAAACCTGTATCTGCCTAAGCAAAAACGCATTATAACAGGGATTCTTACCGGGCCTTGCAGACTCAAAGGACATCTTAGTAAACTGAGAATAGTGGAAGACAGTGAGTGTAGATCCTGCGAGAAGAAGAACGAAAGTTCCAGAATCCCTATGATCAGACGCAGATTCTGTCGAGTCATAATCAAATATTTGTTACGCTGTAGTGTTGTCATGATAACTTAAAAGCTCCCTGGCAAGTCTGCAGCTTTTTGTTTCATCCCATATTTCCTTGAGTTTTACCAGGAATCGTTCCTTAATTAGGCCTGTTGCTACCTATGTTGTCAGTCCAATAGAAGAGCCAGGTCCAAAAAGTATTTGGTTAGCTGCCTTGTTGGCAACTGAATCTGCAAGACGGTTACCTTTCAATGTGACGTGACCTTTGATCCATCTTAAATTGTTGATGGATACTTCGGTCATACATACATCATTTTCCATCAATTAATATTGGCAAGATACCTTGGAGAATTCTATAAAAATATTAATATTTAATACTGCAAACTGTTTTCGTATTTTTTGAAATGTAGACGATGCTTAGACGTGCTGTAATTCACAACTACTGACAAACCAGGAATGCACATTTACTGTTTAAGATAGATGGTATTATTATTCAAAACGGAAGTCTAATTTTAGTTTAATGATTTTTATTATAATCTCTCCATATTTCTTAGTACAGTTCATCAAATTTCTAGAGGTGTTCGACGCCCAGACAGAGAACGCGCTACGTGTGACTAAGATAGCTATTGTACAGTCTGCTAAATAAGTTATTTTAAATAGTTTTTAATATTTTTAGGTAATTAAATTTTAAAAGTGTGGAATAGTTTAGGGATTAAATTGGTCTGATTGGACTTTCTTAGAACGTTTTTAAAAGCAGCTAAAGTAGTATGTAGAATTGAAAATAATTATTATGCCATAATGTGGTTTGGAATTCCTTCAACCTTTTGAAATTGAGTCAAAAAATATAAATTTTATAGGATAGCGGAAAATACCTATAATTTTTTTGTAGGCCTTTGTAAATCGTGGAAATAGTTTATATTTTATTTCTACCTTATTAAGGAAAATGGTACCTATTATTAATAACGGTTGTTTCTGAAACATTACTAAAATTTTCGAAATTTTGTTTTTCTACAAAATAATAAACTATACTATTTAGAAAAAAATTTATTTCTCTTATAATTTTATAAAAACAGGGGAATATTTACATTTCTTGATCTATTAAACAAAACGATAAATTATCTCGACTAATGACACCATGTTCTAGTACGGAAGCTAGCTTTACATTTTTGTTGGTGGTTTCATGGGTTTCATATCAATTTTTTGTAATTGTAGTTTACATGTACATATACCTCTTAACACTTGTTTGCTTTATTAAAAAAGTGTGTTGTTGTGATTTACGTCGAAATAAGTCAAAAACAACTTGAAACCCCATATAAAATCAAAAAGGAGAAACGGAAAAAAATTGAGCCTGTAAATGAACACAACTCAGAAACAAAAATAGCTATCTAATAATAAAAAAATAAAATTTGATTCTTGTGCAGCTTCATCTATATCATTAACTGTTTTTGGTTTTTTAATGGTTTTTCTTGGTGATGAAAATTCCGATATCTCACGGTTATCGATTTTTCTCTCCAGAAATGCGGACGACAGTGTTTTTAGATACTCCTGTGGCTGCAGCAACACGATTATTTACATTTTTAAATGGTATTGAAGGTGAATTAAAGTTTCCTTCTCTTCTCATAAACTCTATAACATTGGCTATTATTTCGCGAGATTGACTGTTAATCACGCGGCCTCTTAATTTGCTATTAAACTCCATACTTAGGTTCTATTAAACTGTAATGAGCAAAAAACACAAACGAAAATAAAAGAAATGTTTTAGCGAAATTTACATCTGACATTTACGTCTGAATGAAATAGTGAAATACTTGATGCGCAGAGTGTACTTTCATTGCGTAAATCCGTCGGGATGCCTGTCAGTAGTGCTTTCTCTGTCTAGCCGTCGAAAGCCTCTAGAAATTTGATGAACTGTAATTTCTATCAATCTTTTTAGTAGATTTCGTACCCTTAAAAAAGGAGGTAAGTAATTCATTTTTATTTTACTTATACCCACCCAAAATAAAAAACCACGAACCGCTACTGATCATATGTTTAAAATAGACTTATCTTCTTATTGATGGTTTCTATTATTACTCATTCTACTCCCTCAAAATCCCAAAAATTTGTTTTCATTATGTTTCCTACCCTGAGTGTCAATTACACAACCGCAAATGACGTTTTGTTTTTGTGTTGGATAGTGTGTATTTTGGTCTGTTCCAACAACGATCAGAAACCAATCGCTGACACCACGATTCTGCGCAGTAAATTATTGAGAATACCAAATACTCTACTCCGCAGAATCCTGATGTCACTGACTGGTTCCTGATCGTTGTTGGAACAGCCCTTTTGTGTCTATAATATGATTACGGAGACGTCGCACAATATACACTCGCCGAGACTAGGTGACAGTTGTTTAAACAACAATAACAGGTAGTAATCGTTGTAGCCAACCCTACAGTTGTTTAAGAAAAACAAAATTTGTTTCAGGTGGACAGTGACAGCATCCCGCAAATGTGCGATAGCGCGTGTCAAACCAGGGAAAGCCTTTTTACAACTCAGGGATATAGTTCGGGTAATTCGACTCCTAGTCACAGTACCCATACGAATTCTCCACCAGCCCCTTTTAGCACGTTCGGATATAAGAAAGAAAAGGAGAGAGAGACCAAATTTAAGGTAATGTAAAATTTTAATATAAATAATAACACTAAATTCCCCTGGTCTTTTCTGACTTAACGCTCAGTTTAAGGGGGAGTGTTACGCGGTTAGTTATGTACCCGGCGACACTGTTTTTTTTTTACTTTTCATGTTTATTTAAAAAATTACCTCAATTTTTTTTTTATTAATTGTTTATTTAGAATCATACCCCAGTATATATACCAATCAGTATTGGCACTCTGAGGCGGCACGTTTGATCTTTAAAAGTAGAAATTTTAGTTGACACTTGACGTTTTCGGGATATGAAAAGTTTTCTTTACACGGACTTGGTTTACCTGGTTAGTTGAATTTTTGTTCTGCTGCTTTTCAAATTCGTGTGTATGAGGGAGATGTGAGATACCTTTATAGACAACGGTTGAAGAACTTAATTACTTTGAAGAAGAAAATAGATTAGATATCAGGGCAGTCTTCCCAAATGTAAGAAGGACAGAACCGTTTTAAATTTTTTTATATACGCGAAATATTACTTTTTGGTGAAAAGTTTAATTACTTTTAGTTCAAAATATAACGTTAGTTTGTCAAGGGAAATATATAACACACAAGGTTAGAGTAACAAAATAGAGGTATTGCTTTATTTCTTAAGAATTACTCTAATCTAAAACTTTTCTAGTATATTGTAAACATTTATTCTATACGTTATTTAGGTACTGCAAAATCTATAGGAAAGTATGTAATTTTAAATTTAAAAATTTGTAAGGGAGACATATTTAGTGTAGTGTTTTTACAAATATATACTCAGTGACTTGCTTTTGTGAATGAGTTCAAGTATGGCAGACTAAAATCGTTATTTTTTATTATGAATTAATTTGAATTTATTTTAAAATGGGAACTATATGTATATGGTATTCGTAGATTTTACACTTGTGATAAGAATATCAAAGTTATGTATATTGGCCATAAACTACACACAGCAAATTCATAGACACAATACATATTACTATTTGACATTCTTGTAAAACCACTAATTTAAAATTGACTTTAAACTAAGTAACTACACACAGAATTGTTTGAAAGCAGCCATAAAGGTATAATTTATTTATTGGATACTATAAAAAAATTAATAGTAGTTACATGTAGAGTTAAGTAACAAGAAATTTAAGACCAAAAACAAAACAAACCTTTATAACTAGTGAACTTAATTTGGTACAGTCCTCAACTTTCTTAGGCTAACATTAAAGATATCTATTTGGATCTCGCTAAGAAACTCATTGGTAACAGCCATCATCTTGTTAAAAGGAGATATACTACTTGGATCTAAATAAATTAATTTTTTGTTACTTGGGTTTCTTAGATTAATCTTTGCTGCATTAACATTTATATAGTCAATCAATTCACAATCTTTGTACTTAAAATAGAGTACAAAATATATCACAGCCTGTTGCTTTCTTCTTTGTAAAAGAGATTTAATCTTAAAACTATTGAGCATAGTTTTATACGAGATCTTAGGTATAAGGGTACAAGTATTTTTTATGACATAAAGGTACTGTAAAAATATTTTTTGTACTTTTTCAATATGATCAATTTGTGTGGCTTCCAAGTGCATCCATATTTGTGAAACATACTCAAGATGGAGTCTTACTAAGGCATTATATAATCTGATTTTGGTGGTAATCCATATTTTTTTTGTATTTCTGATTTAAAAACCTAATGCTTTTATTACTTTTTTAGTTATGTGTAAAAAATGGTTATTGAACTTCAAATTAGACTGAAAGACAACTCCCAAATCCTTTACCTTATATTCACGATTTAATGTGACATCACAGGTCTTATTTCTAATGTAAAACATTAAGAGGCTATAGATCCTAACAACTTAAAATATGCATACGTTTGTAAGTGTTAAATAGATGGATAAAAAGTGTTGATTTTTATTTACAACTATATTAAGAACCATTGAAAAGATTAAGAGCAATAAAACATTTCAACAAATTTCTATAGGTACACATATTTTTGATACCTGATAATCAATAAATAATATATTTTTTGGAGTAGCAACAGGTTTATTAATACACAACTATTATTTTGTTACAAATACTTATAATATTTATAATTAACATAATAGTTGATATAAGTCCTTTAAAAATAATATATTTTGATTTAATTGTTGAATTTATACATGAACAATTTTCCTTGTAGCGTTGTTTACATTTTGCAGAGAAATATTGTATTCTGCTTTTAGCTGATAAACCATGTACATGTAAATGGGTTGAATGTAGACAATGTTAATGTTTTTGCTACTACTGCTGGCTAGGAATGCTGGGCTGGGACACCAACAAAACAAAAAAGGAAGCACAAAGCACTAGATGTTTTTATCACTTATACACGTACAATTTACAACCATTCAAGTAACTAGCATGTTGGAAGTACTTCACGAAAACATATTAAACATAAATCAGTCGAAGGCAATGTATTTTCTTTTTATAACACACCTTTTTAGCTTGATTACTTTTAGTACTCTATATTTATTCCAATGTCCTCAAATAAAACGAGCAATAATAAGGATAAAACACACACTGAAGTGTATTTGGGGTATTTTTGATCTAAATCCACTATCACAATAACAAATTTTCCGTTTTTAAGCTGTGAATGTATTACAAAAACTACTTCGATAAAATGTAAACAAAAGTTTATATTTGTGTACGAAATATGGGTTGTCTGCGCATGGTAGCGAGTTTTTAACCGGATTTATGACAAGTGATAGGTTATATCCCGAAAACGTCAGCGCAGTAAAAGCTGCGCGTCTTTTTCCCGCCCAGGGAGTGTCATGGGCCTGATCATACGTAAAAGTGACCTAGTCCATTAATTAACCATGCAGATAAACGAGAACTATTAATAAAAACCAATTTATTTAATAGCTGGTAAGAGATTTATACCGATCAAAAAGTTCATACTCTGACTGTCAGAGAGTCTGGTTGTTTTTAGCATTAAGAGCGACCTCAATACATGCTTCAACTCTTTTGCTAATATTGTCGCGCACCCTTTGAAATATATCTCCAGTATTTTTTATTATATCGCAGGAAGCTCATACGGTCCTTCAGCTCTTTTAGAGTGTTTACTGGGGTGCAGTAAACTCGAGTTTTAAGTTGCCCCCATAAGAAAAAGTCCAAACTATTGTTACGCTGGTTTTTGGTATCACAATTTATTTCAACTGAACTTTACAATAACAATACAACTGATAACATTAACGTGTAACGACTATCATCTAACTGAAAAGTGACGTCAGGATCATCCTTATATAGCTTGCTTGACCCTTCTCGAACCTTCGCGAACTGTCGTCTAGAATATTCTTGATATGTAATGACATTTCTGGACTATTCTATCTTCTTTTACTTGTACTTTTACTTATGACGACCGCAGCATACTGTAGGGCGATGAGTAACATTCCACTTCTTTTTCTATCTGTACGTTTCCTATAATAGCCGCAGGCTACTGCAGGGTGCTGCGTAACATTACTCCCTCCTCTCTAGTTAATCGCCCCGAATAACTTGACTACTGGGACCTAGTTGGAACTAATGAAGAGGATCTGGACCATGGAATGGAGCTATCTTCCCAATGTGAACTACGTTGAATTTACTTCCCGCTGGCAGTTGAATGCGGGCGATCAGGTCGTTAATTTTCCTTAAGGACAGAGTAGGGGTCTTCCCAGTTCCGCTGCGATTTCTGACGAAGTCCTCCTCGCTGTTTGGGATTGCACAGCCATACCTTGTCGCCCCTCTCACAATGTGTATCTGTGGTACGCCTGTCGATTCTAGCTTCTGATTTATCGGTGTGGGCTTTCAGTCGTTCCTGAGCGAATCCATAGACCTTTGGCCTGCCATTGCATACATCACATTTTTTACACCAATCCGCTACATCCCGTCGGCAATTGATCCAATAAAATCTTTCCCGAACTCGTGCCAGTGTCCTTTTAGTATGAAGCTCCTCCAATACTTTTCTCACCTGTGACCTCGGCAGTATCACTTGGTGGACTACATGTACTCCATCGGGGCTCTCCCACTTCCGGTGCAATAGGCCATCGTGAAGATACAGGGAATCCTACTGGGTCCAGTAGCCTTTTATAATTCTACTGTATTTGGCTATCTCTTGCCAAGTAGGTGTGACTTTATTTTTGAGTCATTCTCGGACAACCTTTAAGTCCTTGTCTTTCTTCTGTCCCTGTCTCAGACTTTCAAGGGTGATTTCTTCTTTGTCGCCCTTTGGGTTGATAGTGGTGACCCAAAAAGTAACTTTATCAACCGGTTCTTCTCGTTTTTCGAGCCTTTTACCATACCAGCATTGTTCCTCTAAACGGGGTTGCCCGAATAGAAGGTCTGCATTGCTATAGAGACCTCCTCGATGCTCTACTTTTTGGTTATTGTTAGAAAGCCGGCTCGGTGTGAGTGATTGGCTTCTTCGGGATGCATAGCTGCTATAATTAATTCTTGTTGGTCTTAGTGATGAGCTTGGAAAGATTGATCTATATGATTTTCCGGTCTCATTCGCTGATTCTCGATTTATAGAATGGGCCATGCTTCTACAGGTTCTTTGAAGGTGTCCGACTCTTCCGCAATTGAAGCATCTCCTGCTTCCATTTTGGCTGTTTCGTTGTATATTTCGTAGGATATTTAAGATTTGGGGAATAGCATTAGTATTGGCCTCGTCACTGTCCTGGGATTTAATTTCCCTCACTTTTGCGCGAGAAGATTTGGATAGGAGTTTTACCGCTTCATATTCCTGGGAAGCAATCTGTTTCTCCATCAGCGTCTTGTGATATTGTAGACAAAGGACTTGCTGCATTTCCACATCTTGTAGTCCATCAATGAATGCTTGTATTCCCAGTTGTTCTTGGAAATCTTTCGGAACCTGTGGATAGGCCAGATGAATCAACCTTCTTATATCAGCCTCGAATTCCTGTAGACTCTCATTATGTTTCTGACTACGAACCTTTAGCTGGGCTTTGGAATACCCGTTGCAAATGCTGCTGGCCATATCTTGTCTCCAAAGCTTGGACGAGAGATAAATAACTGGGTTCTTCTTGGGGATGTAATTGTAAAACGGTTGCTGCCTGACCTCGCCTTACTCTCTCCTCCTCTTCTTCCTTCCTACGCCTTTCCTTTTCCATCTTCAAAAACCATGCTGGTGGGCCTGAAGCATCCATGCCTGCTTCGTACTCAGTGGATCTAGTATTTACCATGAACTTTTACTTTGTATCCCACCGCTGTCACCAATGGTACGCTGGTTTTTGGTATCACAATTTATTTCAACTGAACTTGATGCAATTGATAACATTAACGTGTAACGTCTATCATCAAACTGAAAACTGACGTCAGGATCATCTTTATATAGCTTACTTGACCCTTCTCGAACCTTCGCGAACTGTCGTCTAGAATATTCTTGACGGGTAATGACATTTCTGGACTATTCTATCTTCTTTTACTTTTACTTATGTCGACCTCAGCACACTGTAGGGCGATGAGTAACATTCCACTTCTTTTTCTATCTGTACGTTTCCTATAATAGCCGCAGGCTACTGCAGGAGGCTACGTAACACTATTTAAATCTGGGAACAATGGTTGGGGTGCACCACGATTAGGGTTACCAGACGTCCGAATTTGCCTGGCATGTCCGGGTTTTTACTACGTCGGGGTGTGTCCGGGCGGATTTTGCATAAGGACTAAAATAGTTGTCTTTAACAAAAAAAACTGAAAATCAACTAGAATAAAAAAATGCTCTCATTAAAAAAATTTTGATGAACGCTGTAATATAAAACCCCCTAACTGTACGCTGTAGTGTAAAACGCCCTTAACTATGCTGAATTTTATTTTTTGCAATCTAATGCCAATGTGGAAAAAATATTTTCACCTATTCCAGTCCAGTAGACAAATGAAAAATATAAACTGCTTTTGGCCTTTGCAAGAGGAATACTTTATGACTACTTATAATTCAAGCTATTATTATTTATTCATCTATGAGCTATAATTCCGTAGGCTTTTTTCTATATGGAGTTTTGAATTTCAGGCGGAAGCCAAGATAGAGATGAACAAGCACGAGGAGAAGCGGCGTCCGTACAGCGTCCAGACGACGAAATCAGCGCCCGACGTCATCGTGACGCACTGACATTTCGACAAAGCCGATTGGGAACCTTATCGACGAAGGTACCCGCGGCGCATTGGTGCACACGTCTCCTTCAAGGAGATTCTTGGAACGGAAGGGACTCAAACGTATGATACTGATTTTTATACTTATAACTAAATAAAACAAATATACTTATAGGCAATTTTTAATCAATAAAAAAATGATGTTTTTTTGGAAATCGGATTGGGAGAATCGTTGACTGGATGAGGAATTTAAGGTTATGTTTGTAAATTTGTTAATATAATTTCAAATACATAATAATTTATTGAAAAGAAATGGAACGTTGCACGCTTGGCAACAATGTAGTTAAATTGACAGTTCATGAATTTGATGCCAACTTACAGTATGAAATTCATTAAAATTATTTTGTTAAAAACCTACCTACGGTAGATTTACTGCTGTGATATGCTAAAAAATAAGTTTTTGATACGCAATTTTTAAAAAAGAAAATATATGCGTCTCGATTTATTTTGTCAAAATTTCGTTAATTTAAATGGTATATGTTTAGCGCCAATGCCTGTCATCGATGACGTGCACTGGATTTTATATTGATTGCAGTAATCCCACAAAAAATTAACCTATCTGTTAAAAATAATGTCTATACAGGGTGCCAAGAAACGCTCTTCAAAGAATGAAACCACGAAATCTAGAGCTGATTTTATGACGATTTAGTCTAAATTACCTTAATCCAAAAATGCTTCCTAACTCTTTGAAGATAGCGCTCTAAAATCGGTTTAATTGAAATACCTTCAAAACGGATTTTTATTAAATGATATTCTGTACATTTATTTATTTATTTGAACCTAACCAATCAAATTTCGTAAATAAGATTTTTTTGTCCTTTAAAAAGTCGCCATTTTGAAATTAAATTTAAAAAATTTCTTAATTTTCACACAAAAATGATGCTCTTATCTGAAGTCTCCATGACCAACTGTTTTCGAGAAAAATCGACTTAAACTTTTCATGTCTTTATATACGTTTTTATTGATTAACAAATAAATTTCAAAATTATGATAAGGTGGCCATGGAAAATAAACAAAATACCTAAGAATTTGTAACGGTTTTATTTTGCCACATTAGAAATATAATAGGGATGTGATTTTATTAGTTTTATATAACTTAAATAATTGTAAAAAAATCAGACCTTATGGATTTACAAATCTGTGTGAATTGAGGAATTGTATTTATAAAGGAGTTCTGTTATCATACCAGAAGGGTTATGTTTATTTTGATCCTCTTTTTTTCAAATATTTCAACTTCGTTCTAATTACCCTGGCACAATTATTCTTTTCTGGCTCCCCTTCACAGAAGTTGGTAGACTGTGGTCCATCTTAGCAACACCAAAAATCTGCTTACCAGTACCTACAATATTTATAAAATTCAAATTTACTTGATCTTGGTGAGAAATTGAGAGAGGGAAAAAACTGATTCTCTTATCTTTGGACTTTTTGATGTGAATGGTCACATTGTAGCAATTTGCGGATATTTCCAAAAATCTTTAAAGGACCCCGCAGACTTTCAATGGAAATTGGGTTTCATCGAAATTGTCCCATTTTTTGCAGGGAGCTAGCTTTGACATCCTGAACAAAATTCCTTATGGGTGGAACAAAATCCTATGTAAGGATTTTGAGTTATTTGCGAAAGAAGGCCTCGATTTTGACAAACCTCAAAAATCGTAAACACAGGGAAACAACACATACAAAGAGGTTAGGGTGTTTATTTTTTAAAAGTCTTGGACCAAAAAGTTATTCCAGAATGATTAGTAGTCATTGATGGAGACGCTGTGTATGAGTGCCCGTCAATAGGCAACTCACAGGATGGTCCTGAACAGTTTCAGGAAGGAATTGACCTTTTAACCAAACTTTTCTAAGCTTGATTTCGTGGCAAGTTAGAGAAAAAACCAAAAATTCAATTGCAACTCGTGTTTTGGACCAGAAGATTTCGTAGATAACTCAGAAAATTGCACGGACCCCCCATTTAATCAATCCTGATTCAGGTTTGTCAATTGTTTGAGTCCATGGATGATTGCACCAGGCACAATTTCTGGAACGTAACCTTTTTTCATGTTGATATTTACTCTACATTGTTGATATTTACAAAGTCTTCAATCGTCACTTAAAACATTTCAAGATCACTGAATAGTGTCCTTCAATAGAACCAAATCAGTCATCAGTGCCTTTGTGGAAGAAAGTGAAGTATTTTTTTGTGCGAAAAATCTCGACATTGGTCTCCTCATCGATTATTGTGTAAGCTTCCTTGGTTAAAAGGTCAATTTTTTTCCGAGAGTGTTCAGGACCATCCTTTGAGTTGCCTAATGATGGGCACTCATACACAGCGTCTCCATCAATGACTGCTCTAATCATTCTGGAATAACTTCTTGGTCCAAGACTTTGAAAAAATAAAGACTCTAACCTCTTTGTATGTGTTGTTTCCTGGTGTTTACGATTTTTGAGGTTCGTCAAAATCGAGGCCTTCTTTTGCAAATAACTCAAAATCCTTACATAGGATTTTGTTCCACCCATAAGGACTTTTGGTCAGGATGTCAAAAGCTCGCTCCCTGCAAAAAATGGGACAATTTCGATGAAACCCAATTTCCATTGAAAGTCTGCGGGGGTAAATATATTTTACTTCGGTTTGTTATACAAACGAAGAATCTCTTTATGAGGATACTTGTTTAAAAAATTTAAAAGGTAATAAATATTATTTCTCGCCTTATTAAGGTCATCCACCATCCAAGGTAGGTCAAACTAACAATTTCTGCTATTTTCTTCATTTAATATATTCCTTATACTATAGTGCTTAAAATGTATTTTCTCTTTGTAGACCTTTTTAGTTGAGATTTGTACCTTTACTTGCTAAAAATATCTACTCGGCTTTAAGCCTATGGTAAAAGGTATTTTGGACTCTTGCATATACACCTGCTTTCATATACTCATCCTGCAGTACCCAGGATACTCCTGCATGTAGTTATGTAAAATACCCAGGTTCTTATTTTTGCGGGAAAATTCCCGGAAAAATACTCAAAATGGGTAAATATTTAAGCAATTGGTTTGAAAAATATTTATTGAAATTAAAACATTTATTTCACAATATCTGAATTGTCTAATTCAGTCTGGTTGGACATTAGAAATGTCCAATTGTGGGTTAAGTAAGTAATTTTGGCAGCTCTTTCTGTAGTCAATCGATTTTTTTTACTATCGATCTAGCTGAAAGTGCTAAAGTATCGTTCAGTAGCAGCAGAATTTTTTTTTTCCTGGGCTCGTCTGACTATGTGTCTCCGAATAACACTAAAGCCTATTGGCTTATTGTGTTTTACCCCATGTTAGTTCATAGCACCCACTCTTATCACCTTTGTACCTTGTACAAGTTTGTACAGATCCTTGGGTGAGTGGGTTCTATACGTTGTTGAATCCACCTGGGGTTGTCCAAAAAGAGCCTGTCTTTTGCGATCTAGAGCTTCGCATTCGCACAGTATGTGTTTGGCCGTTTCTGGTTTCTTGTGACATAGTCGGCACATGAGTTCCCCATTGTACATGCCAATTTTGTTCAAGTGTCCTTTTACTGGGGCGTGCCCAGTCATGAACCCTGTTATCACTTTCAACTGGTGCTTATTCATTAAGAGTAGTTCTCCAGTTCTTTTGGGACATGGTCTGCCTATGAAGGCTTTTCCATGTGCCTGTTTTGGGGTGCTTCCCCAATAGTTGATATGTTGTTCCCGAATCCAGTCATTTATAAAACCCCGGACTGTACTTTTTGGTACTCCTGGGTTTGTGTCTGGTTCAGGTGTTTCTTCTGACCCTCTTTTTGCAGGTTCGTCAGCCTTTTCGTTGCCTTCGATCCCTTTGTGACCTGGCACCCAAAATAGTTTTACTCTATTTCGGTCTGCCAGTGTTCTTAGTTCTTCGATGCATTCCCATACCAGCCTCGACGTAACTTTGTGACTCGATATGGCCTTAAGTGCCGCTTGGCTGTCTGACATTATTTGAATATGCTGATTTTCGACAGCTCTTTCATTGTTCGTTTACCTCGGCCTGAAATACCGAGGAATGTATTCCTATAGCATAGCTATGGTTAGTATCAGGGTTTTTGGAGAATACTCCTGCCCCAGTGCCTTCCGCAGTCTTAGACCCGTCTGTATACCAGGTTTGTTCCTGTCGTTGGGCATTGGGCTCCCTTATGGTGATCTCCGCTCTTTCCTGTATTAAAAACTCAAAGGGAGCATTAAAAGAGTACCTCTTGGTTATGTGGTCTGATCTCATGTCTAGCACGTCTCCTGTCACTAACCTTGAGATACTCATGTGACCTGGCCTAATGTCAAGATTTCCCAGTGTATTCCCTAATCTGTAAGCACCTAATCTTGCCCCCCCTTGTATCACATAGTGCTTCCATTGCAGCAGTGGGGGTTGTTTTCATTGCCCCCGTTATTCCGAGGCAGGCAAGTCTTTGTACCTTGCTTAGCCTCGTTATTGCTTTCCTTTGCTGTGTCTTTGGCCACCACACCAAAGCTGCGTATGTTATTATGGGTCTCACCACCATGTTATAAAGCCAGTATACCATGTCTGGTTTTAACCCCCATTTTTTTCCAAAGGATCGCCTTGCCATCATTAATGAGGTTTCCGCTCTACTTGTGGTTCTTTCTAGATGCTGGTTCCAGGTAAGTCTCGAGTCAATCATAACCCCGAGATATTTTACCTCCCCCTTAGCAGCAGAAGTTACAAGTACACTCATTATCCTAATTACAACGTCCGCTAGTATATTTGTGCCACGAATACCTCTCCACTAAGTAAGAGGATTGATTTCTTTCTTTCCTTCCCAGATGAACCTTTTCGACAATAGGCCTTCCTTATCTCTATAATCTGCTACAAGACCCCTAATTTTGCCGATTTTTAGTCCCAATCCTATTTTTGTGGCTGTGTCAATTATAAAATCTATGGCATCCATTATTTATTCTGTAGTCAACTGATGACCTTGGGAGAATGGATCCAACATGGTTGCAGCTAAATGTATTTTTTCTATTGCAAAATCTTTTCTTTCGCTCATATTTTTTAGTATCAAAGTTTTAGTGGAGACTAATCAACAATTGGCCTCAAAATATTTATCATTTTGTCAACTTGTACCCAAAATATAGAATCGTCAGTCAAGTAATAAAGTTTTTAGTTGTTTTGATAGTGTCACAGATACTTCGTCACTTATCGCTAGTGTTTATAGAACACTTTTATTTAGGCGAAGGTTCTGTAGGCAGAACAAATGACTTCCCCATGGTGTTTTAACAGCTTGTTTCAGAGAAAC